TTTTTTTTAACCCGAGAATCGAGATAGTCAACATAATACAAGTATTGTCAAATTTAACGAGAAGAGGGTAAAAAAACGCAAACAATACGATGTTAAATAATACTTATAAAAAAATGGCATTATTCTTAAAATAACACAATACGTTTTTTTTATTTATTTATTTTAAGGAGCTCTAGTTCCAACTGCTATAACCAGATACATTTCATGACTTTGCATATCGAATCATTTTACTCGGAAAACGTTTTAGATAAGATATCAATCAGATTCAAATAACCATTTCAGTACCTTAAACAGTTTTTATTTTTCATATTTCTGATTATAAATGAGCACAATTATAAATTTTTTATTATAGAATAATTTACTGTGATGCAATTCTTTAGAAATCGTTATGAAAACACATACATATTGATAATTTATGGATAATAGTTATGTTATATTTATGAATATAGGTATAGCATATGTATCATATTTATATAGCTAYATGATATTTATTATATAATTTAAAATTTTAGGTTAATCCTTATACGTTATGTTATAATTTATAATTCATTCCATAAAGCTGTATTGATAACTAATATTTAATAATTATTATAAGAATAGTCAAAATTCATTAATTTTTTATTAAATATTTATAATAGTTTATATTACTTACAGTTTTTTTTTGTATTTTAAAATGTATATAGTATGTAGTAAGTAATTCAATAGAACATATTAAATGTATAGTATATACTATATTCAGTATATTCTATACATTTTATAAAAAAAACAGCCAACGGTGTAACATGACTGAATAAATATACTACTATAATGAGCAAAGTTAGGGTTATGAATTAAATTTTGTTTGAAGTTTTTTTTTTTATTAGATTATAGAAACCATTTTTTTCTTACGTTACTACTTTATAGTATAAACATATTAACAAAAGTCTATTATGTTGATTTTTTATAATTTAATATTTACCTATGTTTACAATTTAACAACAAAATTGGCAAAACTTGTTTACTTTATATTTGTAATAAATTTTAATTTATACATTAAGGTTTAAAAAAAAACTCATAATTTAATTCATCACTAATTATTTTACATAATTTGCATACTTCTTTAATAGGTCTTTTTAGTATCTACATTAAATGTGCACAGCATCTACACATAGATTATAATATTAGTACTCATTCAGTGYATTATGATACGTCATATAATAAACGTACCATATTATAATCGATAACGGTTCATATTGACAAGAAGACATTTYAAATTMTATATCACATATACATTACATATGTATAATATCCGTAATGTACTTATATATGTTATAAATTATAACTTATAATTAATGTAAACTCGTATAAATGTGGTACACGTGTTACCCGGATATAGGGTGCTCCGCCAGTATTAAAACTTTTTTAAACCAAGAACATTGCTCGGAACTCCATATGCGGCTGCAGCAGTCATGGTTACCCCGCCGTTGCCTCAATCATCCCATCGTAGACTATCTTAAAAAGCCAAAAAGCCCCAACACTACACTTATATAGACCGCACGTGTATTCTCCCGCGGTATCCTTCTGTATATTATATTATGTACCATATCAAATTTAATATATTACGATACTTTAATGTGTTTTAAATTAATGTTCATTGTTATAAATTGTATACAATTTATTATATGGTGGTTGTCGAGTGGCGGTAAATAATGAGTATACAAACTACCTATATAATAATAACCATATTGTACATCGTTGAAGTAATTTATAATTATGACTATACATAATCATATAGGTAATTACTCGATTTCGGTTGTATTGATTCAATTTTATGGTTACAATAATCATTTTAATTTTTAATTTTTTCATAAAATTTAATTCGTGCGTCATGATGGTTTAAATCTTAAACGTAAGTATGTATACTTGTAGGTAACGGTAAGTACCTATATGGTATAGGTTAGGTCCGTATTTATATATTCAGGCCACAACGATACATATTAAAATGAATACATTATTTTGAAAACTGTTAAGATTTTTGAATGTATTATATAATATTTATTATTTTTTTTCATAACAAAAGGGGTAAAATGATTTYTATCGTTATAATTACAACATGTTATATTTTTAATTTAATATTCCTAAACATCATATTTTTCAGTTTATTTTTAAGAGTACAATCAAACTTGTTGGTAAACTGCGATTCCGCATATATTTTAAAGTATAAAATCTTATAAAATTTGATTTTTACGACGTTACTACTAATCGAAAATCTCTGAAAATTATTCAGCTTCGAAATATAAATTAAAAAATGTATGTAATTCATTCAATGAAGTAAAAGCTTGAAAAATAATATCAACAAAAAATATCTAGTACTTATAAAATGTGATTTTTTTCTTTAAAAATGTTGTCTTATTGTTACGATTTCAAATTGTATAAAGAAATATAAAACGTTTATATGGTTTTCGAAATAATGAGTATCTCACGTTAAAAAAAAAAAATCATCACATCTTAATATACATGTATAACAATATAACCACTAAAAGATGTACCACCGTATCCATACACACCGGAGGTAGGTATTGTGATAGTCGCGAGAACCGAACTGATATACGATCGACCGCGGGTTCCTGCACCTGGATTATTATATCCTGCAGCAGCGTGCGGTTACCTATATATTTGTTTACKCCCACAGTCATATAATCTTCCTGCACCGAATGAGATTTATGAGATCTACGAACGATTAATTTTTAATAATTATTATACACGTACGTAGTATATAATATAAACGCACGTATAGGTTATATGATGGGTCCAGGTGCAGCAGCAGTACACAAGAAGGGCACCCGTCTGCATCTAAATACAGATTAAATCTACAACGGGGTGGAATCATTACACAAATAGACACAAACCAAACGAATCCGAGAAAATAATTTACGTATAAGTGCCAGAGAAACTAAAAAATAATGGTTCTTTTAAAAGAGTGTTTATAGCCTTATAGAGTATAGGTAGGTTAGGTTATATATTTAAATTGGCTATAACGCGTGCGGTGTGCACGGCGCAGTTGACCAGCAATCGGTACCTATTTTTAAAATTATTCTTTTAATCAAATTCGTTCATTTTTGTAAATTATTAAAATTTTGGAGTTACCAAACTTACGATTAGATGGAGGGGAAAACATAATTATATTCATATTATTGAAATATATCTCATCTGTAGTATGCGAGATCTATGAGGGTAGGTCTTGCCGCCACCCACTCGGAGTCTCGGGTGTTAGTATAATAATAATAATAATAATAATTGTGGATATTACATAGGTATATAATATGATACGGTGTACACTTTACAAGATAGTATTACGCGGGTAACGACGACTTACATTATTTTTTTATGACGGCGCGCGGCGTCGCGTTTCCCTGGCTCACCCGTGATTCACCGCCGACGGACGGACGCCACGATACTAAGATAGAGACCCAACACGAAAACACGTGTCATAAATTGTTATTATAATGAAATTGTACAACAGTGCAGTATAGTAGCATTGTGCATTATGTTACCGCACGGCGTCTCGTACRACGATTGTGCAGTAAATTTAAATTWTACATAGAGGTATTATTTGTACACTTGTTACGATCGATGSGTTGTTACGAAACGATCGATTTGTAATCGTAGTGTGGTATATGCGGTTATTGTAGGGCCGTTCCTATTATTATGACGCACCGCGTTTGCCCTAAATACCTACGGGCTCAAACAATTAGGACCACTCCTCGAAACAGCGGTGTCTGTAGTTCTGTACTACAARTTGTCCGCTGTGCCGTTTTTAAAACAACATCACAATCGCATCGAATCGTAAAATAATTAATACCTATATGGTTAGAACTTTGACACAACTTTTACAGTTCGACAGAATTTAGACAATAGAACGATATTTATTTACCGATATACGYACGCTTGGATATAGCATAGCCGCAAATACACCTAAACTCTAATGTTGTACTTTAGACTTGTAAATAGTACTTACCGAGATATAATTATAAAAAAAATACAATTGTACATTTGCGTTTAAACAGCATAAACCAGGTATATTAAATAATATTTTATACACTTATACATTTCAATATAATAWTATGATGATTATGCCATATTGTTGCAGTGTACATTGCTCCTAGACTACAATAAAACGATTATCTAAAACATTTCGAGAACAAAAATATAAAATTYCAGATCATCATGTGATGATTATGTATAATCGAGTGGACAATAATAAAATAACGAAAACCGTCTGCTGAGTAATAACATTTGACATTTAAAAACCAGAAGGTTTCGAATAACTGTCTAATCGTCGCTACTCGTGTTCGCGGGTTAAACTCAGAAGGTACCGACGAAAAATTGTATAGMAATCGTTTATATTATTGTCTAATACACACGGTTCGGTATCGCCGTATATTATCCATAACCCACCACCCCGCACATCTACACCCACATGTTCAAGCGTTTAAATATTATTTATTTATTTTTGCATAACTGTGCCTACAGTGAACATTGAATAAATAATAATAACAACAACAACAAAAATATCAATTATTATTGACAATGACGATGAAAATGAAAACGGCCAAAGGTGAACGGATATCGCGACCCGACGACGTCTTGAAATGCGTCACATCTTTAGCGACCGATATTTAATATTATTGTAAAAAGCAGTGATCGATATCTCGTTGCAGCGGTAAACGCCACAATATTCTCGACGATGACCGCAGCGCGCGAAAACGCATCGTAGCAGTACTGTTGTAGAAGTAGTTATTTAGTACTGCAGTAGTAGTAGTAGTAGTATTAGTAGTAGTAGTAGTAGTATTAGTAGTAGTAGTAGTAGTAGTATTAGTAGTAGTAGTAGTATTAGTAGTAGTAGTAGTAGTAGTAGTAGTAGGATAGTAATAGTAATAGTTTTGTAGAGCGGTATTTAATATTTTATTAGTACAGTACCGCGAGCAGCGGAACGGTTACAGCGCGGCGTTAGTGGTGTCTGACGGTGTGCAGAGCGCGCGTCGGTCGTCGATTTCCCGCGCAAAACCGGTCGGGGTAACACTGTGTGCCGGCCGCCCGCCCCACCGGGAACGGACGACACAGTCGAGCGCGCGCGCGACCGTTATCCAACCGACCGATTTTCAAATTCAAAATCGTCAACGAACGTCGAGCAGCAGCCGCCGTCTCGCCGTCGTCGTCCGCGCGAAAACCGAACAGTTMATTTATTTTTTTTCACCATTCGTAAAAATATTTTTAAACCGTCGTTTTTCGCCGCCGCCATCCACCGACCGGCTCGCGGATTCATTGCCCGGTACACGAAACACGTAGACGCGCGGGTTTCGTTAAGCGACAGTCTTTCGTCGTCATCAAACGGGGCGCGAGCAGGCAACAAGCCACCAGCACATCGCCAGTCAGCCATGGTGTTGTCGGACGTCAACGGAAACGGTAAGAAGTCGGCGGCCGAACGGTGGCTGAGACAGCGCAACGGGCAGCGGGCGTCGGCTGTCCGGTGCATATTCGGGCCGCCCGAGAAACGGGCACATCTCATGGTGATCATGCGCAACGAGGCTGAAATGGAACGGAAGCGGATCGAGTTCGCGGCCCGGTACGAGCCGGTGGGCATGTCGCCGAACGAGCGGCGCAACTTCTTCGCGGGACTCATCAAATCGCCGTCGACTCCGTCGCACCATCATCACGGCAACGGTGAGTAGACATGCGTTAGGGACTGCGATCGTTGGCGTGAAATTATTGCATCCGCGCCCGATCGGAGCTATAGACATCGTGGTGCCGGCATAGGTATTATTATTGTAGCTTGCGCCGAGTGGCGGTCGCGTTATACTCCGTGCGTTCGGGCGGGCGGCCAAACGCGCGGGAAAAATCGGATCGCGCTTGACTAGATCGCGACGACCGGCCGACGATTATTTTTCCACATTCGATATCGAGTTAAATATTTATTCGTCACCAGCTAATACTATGCCGATCGAAGATTTCAAATAATTTTTTTCGKTCGTAATTTTTTATCCATCCGGCATACCCGGACGTTTGCTCGATTTCAAGCGCGTTTTGTGTTTAAGACGGGAACGAAACAATTATTATGTAATCATCGTCCACCGACCGCTGCGGATTACGAAACGTTTTAACAATCGAAAATCGGAAGGTTTACGACAAGTAATAATATTATTTATCGTCAGTCGGCCGTGCCAAACACGTGCTCTCTCGGTCCCCACACACCTGTTGCTGTGCGCACATCGATCTTGTCCCTTCGAACACCTTTTTTTGGGTTTGCGTCTTCCGTGCCGTGAAAACCGATAATGTTATGTTTTCGTACTCTGGCGGTTTATACGTTTGAATATGATGCAAAGGCTTCGGTCTTGCTAGTCGCCATAACTGCGAGGTTAGGTGTCGTCGTCGTCGTCGTCGTCGTCGTATTACGTAAGCGGTAAACAGACGTATCGCTGCAATCGAGGTTAATATTAATTTTATTGTTAATATTAGGTATTTTACTAAATAAACAAGAGACTTATGTCTGATTGTGTGTATATGTGTGTGAGTGTGTGTGTGAACGCGTGTGTGCCCGAGGTGAACTTTTGACGACACGATAATCGCGATAACCACAAATAAAATATTTAATTATTGATAAATCGCACACACCAGACAAGGCGAGTTATGCCGTATGTATGGTTGAAGTTGGAAACGACAGGTCGGAAAAAAATTGTATTTAAAATGGAGGGAGATTCAGTCGTGCTCGCCCGGACAAACCACGGGCGTCGGCCCCGCGGCAGGTCCGCGTGCAGCGGTGGTGGCGTGTGTAAGGCGTACGCACGTATTTTGCCGCCAAAACCTCTACGGTAGTCGCCCGCCACATCTGCCCTACTCGGTAATCCGACATGATAATATATTATATTATAAATTATACATGTTGTATACGATACGGTCTCCGTCCGGATCGAAGTAAAAAAAAAAATCCTTTTTTTTTACGATTTTAGGTTAGGTAAAATAATGGTTGTGCGTGTGTGTGTGTGTCGGTAGGTCGGCGTCGATATTGCGGTCGGGGGTGCAGTGGGGGCGAGGGTCGGTTGAAATTTTAAAATGCACGAGACGTGCGCCGCGCGTACAACGACGATCGATATATACGACCGGTATAATAACGCGCGTTTTTCATTCTTCGCGCTCGACCGAAATCGAACGTGACACTTTTGAAAACCGGTATTTTTTTCGAAAAAACGTACGGCGCGGAGACGACGTGTCATCGTGTCCGTAAACGGACGGCGGGAGTTTTTTCTCTCCTAAACCTATTGCGTACACATACAATATTATTATTATACGTGCAGTCGTTACTTTTATTGTACACCCGGATAAACTCCTCGTGTCGGGGTCGTCGGAATAACATTAGAAATCAAGCGCACTCGTAATAACTAATAACGTGTCCCCGCGATGCACGTGTGTTGGATTTCGAAAAAAAAAAAAAAACCGAAAAACTTGTATAGCGAGCACAGTGAGTTCCAAGGCCTCCTTCGGAGCCGGTGGTGGTGGTGGTGATGATGATATTATTGTTATGTGATATACATACGCGTACGTGCGCGAAAGGGAAAGAAACGTTTTACGTGGTGACAAAAAATTGGCGGGAAACGTGTCCGTAGCACGCGCTTCGCGTAAAAAATCGAACACGAATAATAATAAAACTACGACGACGTTTAGTGGAAAAAAAGCGTCGCCGGCGGACGACGAAAGGGGAAAACTGCGCGGAACAAAAAATTGACAATATACAAAACGGGTTTTGGACGGCGCGCGGCCAAAAAACACTAATCGGCCCAGCGGTGTGTCCCTGTCGCGACGCCGATATCACACGCGGCCGCGCGCGGAGAATGTCTCCGCCAAGGCCGTTTAATAATAATGCGCCTGCGACACGGCAGCTACCGTTTTGTCGGTGTGCGCGCGCGCGCTCTCGTAAATATAAATTGGGCGGGAAAAAAGCGACGTACGCTAGAAAATTATTATTATTATTATTATTATGTTTTATGATCAGTCGTCGTCGCGTACACCTCTGCGCGATCGACGCGGCTCGTAATAACGCGTATCATTATTATTACTATTATTATTGTAATATTGTCGACGAGTTTTTTCCTACCTGCCGCCGACCAACGCCTCCCCCACCGTGTCCCGCGCGCACCATCTCATCTAGATTAGAGTGAAAGAGTTCCTTGTGGCGAGAGGGGGGGGGGAGCCCGCGCGCGCTTATGTTTGAATTGTCTTTTTTTTTTTTACGAATTTCGTTTTTTTTTTCATTCTGTTCGACAAGATAAAAAATAATAAAAATGAAAAAAAAACGTTGTCGACCGGTTTACGTATCATGGATAACGAAAATAATATAAATTATTGTTGTATTTATATGCGCTCTTACCGAATATGTGTCTATACAAATAATAATTATGAACATTACAACGACGGTGTGACGAAACCAACTGTTGGATTTCAACCCAATCGAAAAACTCGATCCGCGGCGGATTTCCTCGTATCGCGCACGGCTGCCATTACAGTATTCGTAAAAATATCAAATTGAATATTATTACATTATTATTATTTATTGTATGATACTGTTATCGAACACAGTCTCTCGTCTCTCCGGTACACGACGCGATGTGTTGCAATGCACAAGCGATAACATTTTTATTATTATTCCGTTTGCGCGTCGTCGTTATCTGCATCAGTGAGCAGCCGCGGCCATTCTCCGCTGATTATTATTATTTATTACGTCTAATATAATATACATGTAAAATGTATACATATATATGATTTTGACATGTATTATRGTACATTATATTATTATAAAATTAAATAATAATTATGATTGTGTTGTACTTATGACATGTACAATTTTTTTCACGACGATAAGTTTTTTTTGGTTGTTAACACGTCGTCGTTTTCCAGATAAACAATCCGATTTAAGTTCTCGGAATCGGATGGACGACGACGAYCTATCGGTCTGTTGTGTATTATTGTTCCATTTTTTTTTATCATAGACAAAATAATAATTGGTCGTTTAACCTTGAAAAACAATAATACAACATAATGGCCCGTTTTGAACCGCGGTCTTAGTAGCTTGTTCTAGAAAACGTTGGTTTCCGCGCTCCGCCGTCCTCTCCTATATTATAATATTTTGTCACCGCGCACACATCATTTATAAAACATTAAAATTTCGACCGACCAGGCCGTCGTCACGACTCACGAGTATGTAATATGTATATTAATATAGCTTTCGCTTCGCTCTCTTTCCTACGACCATTTGATATTATCATTCCAATTTCAGGCGTACCGAATTTCCATATTTTTTTTTCGGCATAATTACACCGCGTCGTCGTAATTACACGCACAATTTGTCCAACTCGCGCGCCTGATATCTAAATGGAGTAAATGGACGTTGAACGACGCGTATTTGTATAATAAACGAATAAATATTCTTATGTGTTGTCATGTGTTGCAATCAATATTGTCGATAGTCGTTCGCAATCCGTAGTAGTAGTTTATTGTAATAATATAATGAAYATCCAACAATAGAGGTAGGATACAAGGAAACCGGCCGTCGGACCAGATTGCCGAAAATTATCCGTTTCGTTGGATTTATTTTGTCTTCGCATACAATCACATTTGAACGGTTATCGCAGTGTCTTCTCTTATTGGCCGGGAAAGAATAGACATAAGGTTATAATCGTCACAAAGGTCTAGGTCACAAATAAACGTTTTATTGTTATGCTGAAGCTGTCCAACTGCTCCGTTTCCTCTCTTCAATTTTAGTAGGTACAAGGAACATATTATATTGCTTATAGCCCCTAATCCGTTGGGTATAAAATATAATATACGATAATAACTAATAAGCATATAAATATAATATTATATACTTGTACTATTGACAAGACCGTGCGTAAAACTTGATGCGATCGTAAAGAGCAAAATCGATTGTTTATCTCTCAATAGGGTTTGGTGGTGAGGGAAAGGGCAGTAATGCTAGTATGCTAGACTATTTTATTTTAACTGTCCCGCGCCGGAAAGACGTAGCACGTCTGCGAATAATAGATCTCTATATATCCATCCACGATAACGCGTTTCGTTCCGAAACACAATAGCGAAATTGCCGTCGCTCCCTGTACACTGCAGCCAGCAGCAGTATAATATTATTATACAAGTACAGCAGCATGTGTGTGTGTGTGTTAAATAAGACACACACACAAACGCATATAACCTGTTGCCACAGAGGACAAAAGATTAAAAAATAATAATAAATAAGTAAACATCCATATCCTTCTCACAAGGATTTAGTCGGAGAAAAAAATTGCAGATGGTGAACGTACACACACATACACACACCGTACAACAGGTGGTTAATTTGCAGTCGAGCAGCTGCTGCTGCCGCGGAGGACATTAAAAACGAGTAGATTTTTTTTCTCGCCCACCGTTTCTTTTCCTTCGTATGTTACGCGTGCACTGCTCATATATAATATGATATATAATATACAGTGTGTTTCCTGCGTTTGCGGATGTGCTCACCGCAGAACACGCGTCATTAGGATTAGGTCATCTCCGCGATTCCTGGTACAATGCACAGTGCACACGCGTATAGTTTTTTCGTATTTCCGTTTAGTCATATCTTTTAAAATCCTGCGTCCGTTCAGTTTCGTAGAATACAAGATTTTACACGTATAATRTCGTGAAACCATATAAATTTATACACTAATCTAATACAATATGCAATTTATATAATATACGACGAAGGTTATATATTTCCGTTATAGCTTTGCCTGAACTGTCGAGTCGTCTTATATGGGKATTATGTTTCAGCTTTTGAACTTGTTTGATAAAATCACCACTCGACCGTGTTCTAGCTCTTGTCACTTATTGTTGTGTTACTTTCTACCGCGGCTCTCCACAGTCCACAGCAAGTCAATTATAGCAGGCTAGAAATCTTGGTCCATTGTRAACTCAGCTTTTGTGTTTTTTATCAGACGAGACTATGGACTTCTCAGTTTTTTCGGTTTTTGTTTTCTTTGGGTTTAAATGTGCAACATAGCAACAATTTAAGGGGTACCTGYCCGTAAAAATGTTTTAATATGCTTCATGGGCTATTAGTTATTACTTCACTCGCATCGAAACTTTATACAGTTCCTATACCTATTATAGGAACTTATAACACATACACTAACTGTATTTGTATTTATATAAATCTAAATACTCCGAATAATATTCTATTTTGGAATATAAAATTAAAAATTAAAATACACTGTTATTCAAAAGAGTAGAAAACTTAAAAATTTATCTTCTCTTGTAATGACTTACCTATAATTATGTAAAAGAAATCGTTAGAAAAATGAACGTTTTTTGAAATAATGAGTGCCTTGCGTTAATTGATCACCCCGTACATTAATTGTTGTACTTTACACTTGTAATATATTGAGAAAATTATTTGTATGGAAGAGTGATTAAGTCACCGKTTACCCGCTGTGTTATGATACTTTAAAATTACAACTTTATATGTATCATAATTATAGGTACTAGGTAGTTTTCGACGATTGTGAAATTATGGATCAAATAATATTATAGTATGTATTGATACAATTCCGATGAATAATWTATAGTTTCGTATATGTAAGTTGACTTGTCCCGGGTTTTATATAACTAACTTTACTGTGCTATGCGCCTATATATACTGGTATAACATACTGCAAGTTTTGTTTCTCTGTTAACAATTTAACATTCATATTATATATTGGTTCCGATAAACGTTTTTTTTTCATATGAGGCGTACCTATATACCTACCATGTGTTTTTTTAACAATATCTTTAGACATTAGAGAAAAGTTTCATTTTCCTGTAAACTAAACAATTTAGGTGATATAATATATTAATATTATCATCACCGTGACTGTAAATATTAAAGGTATTGTAAATTAGTACAGTTCAATTTTTTATGAGGATCTGTTATTCAGAAACCAAATAATAGATACATTTATGATATAGTTTTTTCCAAAACATTTTTAATGTAATATAATAGTAATAGTCGCATGTAAATAGGTAATTGTGTTTTTTTCTTTACCATTATTGTTATAACATCGAACTAAATGTCATCTATAATACCACTTGACGTTGTTGTATTATGTATACAGTATATTATTTTTAATGTATTTAAAAACAAAAAAAGTTTAGAACGTTCAAAACGTCAAAAAGCCGTGAGCATCGTAATAACAATAATACTCGTATAACAACATATCAAGCACATTTTTTTYTCTCCATATTATCTTTATACATAAATACGATTTTACATACTGTTATTATTATTATACGCATTATTATAATTATGTTGTACAATTGTAATAACTTCTTATCGAAAAAGAGTATTAGAGATAAACCAATATGTGCATAAGCACACGCACATATATAATAACTTATAATATAATACACGTATCAATGTATCATATACATAGGAGAAAAAAATTATTCCCTGCGCATAACTATATCATAATAATAATTCATTATTATAACATATTATATTTTCATCGATATGGTACGGCAAAACGTCCCAAAGTCCAAAGTGCTCGATATCTTATTAACGTTGAATAGCCGTAAATACAGCTGCACGGTTGGGATGTTTAAAAAATGAGCAAGTCTAATAGGTACGTTACAAATCACATAATGTCAAGGTTCTAATCCGCCTAAAACAATCGCTCGTGTATGTTACAGTAAACCAGCGACGTATTCGAACGCGGAAACCGCCAATTTTGTGGTTTATCATTATCAATGAAACCGCTGTCGTAATTTACGGTACCCGACAAATGAAACAAATCTGTTTATGAGATTAATCATAGTAATACGATGAACTACTTATATAGGCCGGAAAATTTMACAACCGTCATGTCATCACCTCATCAGTGTCGTGATATACTATTATATTATTATTATATTCTGCTGTATTATTATTATTATTACAACCGCCGTGAACTTCATATTATGTTCTACATTACGACCAAGCCTATTAATTGATAAATATAAATAATAAATGYAGTTTTTTAACAGTTACTCATTACTCATAACAGTCATAACATTATATATTAACACCATAAACTAATATGCAACGGTTGAAACATCTATGACTTTTAAACACTAAATCTCCGTCATCCATTGTTGCAATTAATCGCTAATGAAAAAATATAACGGCTGGGCCGTAAATTTAGACGCGGCCAACGGGCACATATTATTTATTCGTTTTTATTTATCTCCCGAGTTTATTAGGCGATTAAATTCAATCGTGYGTCGCCTCCTTTTTGTTCATACAGATTTTCRGCAGTCTCTCCGAGACAAGTAAAGTCCAAAAATCATCGTGTCGTGCGCGTGTTTATCATAAGCAAATAAATTAAAATCACATTTCCTATTAATAATTATTTGCAAAACTTTGCGGACCGTTGATTGTCATTCACACTATTTGACGTTTAAATTGATTGTGTATATATCARTCTGGAAATTACAAACGCCGAGGAAAAACAAAATTCTTCAAAAGCGCTATAGCGTATACCTATATCATGTAAATTATTTAAGTGTATAAAGACGAATAATTGCTCTAATTTATTTAATCAGTTGAAATTATTTACCAATAGTAAAACGTGCGTATTATAGTACTTTGTTTTTAATTCAAAATTGTATGGTCCTGCACCGTGTAACAAATTTTAATTGCTGGTTTAATTATATATTGTTTTTAAACAAACCCTATGTTTGTCCAAAGTACAAAATAATAGTACATTTCACTCCTCGCGTATTACGAATAATACTTACATAATATTTTAAAATATTCTCTAAACGAATGTTTAAAATTGAAAAAATTGGTCTTAAATTTTGTGTGATTTTTGATTTCAGAACATAATTCAAAAAATTCGAAAGCCGATAACCGCAACCACTACTTCCAACAGCAGCAGCAACACCAGCAACACTATTACCAGCAGCAGCAAAAGAACAATAGTTTCAATCAACCATCCGACGACGAAAGAAATTGACTACGAAATTGATCGACTATTGTGCGGGAGGGGGGACATATCATAAATCGTTATCGATATTATATATAATGTTAAATTGTACCTAAATCGCAACGATCTCTAGCCCCAAACTCGTACAACTTTATAGAAAAGATTCACTTTGTCCATTTCCTCTTCTACGTCTGTCTATGTCACGAATCGTCACATTTGTTGCACGAAATCCGCGCGTAATTTAGGTTTATGGGTGTATAATCGGGTTATTAATAATATTATATAATTTAAAGTGTTTTCATTTCATTTTTGTTCCGTTCATTTGTACGTGGCGCATAGTTGTTTAGGGTTTGCCAACGACTACTTTTTACCTATTATATATTACTGCCTAGTGCCTATAATAATATTGTTTGTTAGATTTCTAGAAATTTAACACGTGCTATAGCCGGTCCATAACATAATTTATTGTAAAAGTACGCATCATACTATTTCTATTATATTATATGGTGCGATTGTTGTCCGAGTCATGCACCTACACTACCTTTCATAATATTTTGATGATGCTCAAGTGTGCATGTAAAATAAATATTATTTTATATTAATACGATTGTCAATGAACAAAAAAAAAGGGGAAAATATTCGACAAATGAATATTTTTACAACTTACAATCGTTCTGAGTAGTGTATGTGTGTGTGTGTGTGTGTGTGTGTGTAACAACGTGCGTAATAATTATTCACTCCCTGCATCTACACGAACTCAGATAGAAGAGGTCAATAAAACTATAACAAACGACTCGGTTCAACTGTAGTATCGAATAATAATCGTAAAATCATTTAAATTTATTACAAGTCGTATTCTTTTTTTTGTTTCTATCTCGTCTTCGCTTACTGTCATTACTAGACAAAAACGCCGAGATTTTACATATAAATATATATTTAATTTATATAATTTTTTTTAAATACATTTTCTCCCTTCTCTCCTCTTTTATAAAATGTATTCATCACCAGATACTCAATTGCAGCTATATATGACTAAATATATATATATATATTAGCTGTTAAAGAAATATTATATGCAATATAAATGCTAGTCCAATTTGTTATGGTGAGAAAAAAAAT